TACACGCTGCCCCCTCTGTCCATGCCCCGCCAACCTCTCCTGCGCCCGTACACGCTGCCCCCTCTGTCCATGCCCCGCCAACCTCTCCTGCGCCCGTGCACACTGTCTGCTCCCCATCCACACCGGTGCACGCTGCCCCAACCCTCCCATCCTGTGCACATTGCCCACCCCCCTGTCCGCGCCCCATGAGCATCCTTGCCCCATGCGTGTTGCCGGCCACCTTCACCTCCCTTAAGTGTCGTCAGTGGTCAACAGAGGGTCAGAGCATTACCTCTGGGCTGGAACCCCAGCACACCTCAGGTACGTTATTTCTCTGCAGCTCAGCTTCCCCTTCTTATGAAATGGAGTGAGAACTTCCTCCCATGGTCACTGTTACAACTAAACAAGGCCGAATTCTCAGGGGGTTATGACACAGTAGGGCAGCGTCTGACCGGAGAAGCACAGAGACCGTCCTCCTGTTCCCCAAGAAACTGCATCGCTGTAAGAATTCCAAGGAAGCAGAGAAAAACCACAACAGAGCACGGCCAGAAACAACAGGACAGCACTCTGCGTGATGAAGCTGCACAGCCCAGAGTGACCTGGAACGTTCAGAAGAGCAGTGACCAGGCCCAACGGGACACTCAAGGACTAAGAAATGCAACTGACCAAACCAGGTCCACACGCTCACCAGTGTCTGGACAGAAGTCACCAACTCTAGGGCAGTGAGTGGAGAGTACTGGCAAGGCACATGGCCTCTGCTCACTGGGCCACCTGGGGCCCTGTGGGGGTCTGACAATGGACAGCCTCAGCCTCACCTCTGCTGGAGTTTCACCACAAGTCACTGAGAACTGGCTCTCTGGGCCCCAGAGTGTACCCACAAGAACATGACAGGGAATCTTAGTAATTGTGTTGGAGCAAAACACAGCGTGGCGAACAGGAGGCAGGAGGGTGGGCAGGCCCAGGTCCTGGGCTGGATGGCCTGGGAAGGAAGGGAGATGCCGCCCTCAGAGCACACAGTGCCTGCAGTCCAGACGCCCACCGTCCACCATGGGGTCAGAGCACTGCTGCTCTTCACAGGTGACCAAGATTAAGACAGAGATGTACAAAGATCACTGTGACCTCAGAGGACAGTGACACCCCCCCAAGGCTGTCGCAGGACCCGCTACTTCCCACTGTCACTGCTTCCACATGTGCACAGGCTGCCGCCAACGGAACGAACAGCTCCTGAGTGTGACGGGACCTAGGTCATGTCCCTCAGAAGGGAATGTCACTTTAAAGACAAAGTTGTCAGAAAGCACCCACAGGGCGCAACCACCATGCCCAAGACAGAGGAAAACAGAGGAGGGCGTGGACACCGGGCAGGCGCCAGCCTCCCACAGTTCCAGTTCTAGAAGAGGAGATACCACATCTGTGAACAGGAGAGGGACAAATGACCCCATGACCATGGCCTCCCTCCACCCTACGAGTCACCACCGTGTGCCTCCTACACCAGCTGACAGCCGCTCAGCTCTCAGGTGAGCCCCAGACCATCCCAAGGCTGCAGAGCTGCCCCCCAGCCCTGTGCTCACAGTTCTCTCCAGAGCCTCCCTGTCCTGCGTGGCAGCCACTGTCTCCAAAGCTTCCCTGTCCTGCGTGGCAGCCACCATCTCCAAAGCCTCCCTGTCATGTGCAGCAGCCACCATCTGCAGAGCCTCCCTGTCCTGTGCGGCAGCCACCATCTGCACTTCAATTAAGAAAAAATACTCAGTTCCTCAGTCGCACTGGCCACGTCTCAAGGACTTGGAAGGCATGTGCAGCAGCAGCACTCGAGTCTACAGAAGGATCACAGCCACCACCACAGGTGCTCCAGGGACAATGCCACTCTGAAATCAGGGCTTACTCTGCTGTGGCATGGCAAGGAGGGTACAGTGACTTTCATTTTTTCTCCCCCCTTGATAGCAATATTTAAGATTTTTACAGCTAAAAAGTTTTCGTGTACTGATGGCAGAATTAACATTTTTCTTTTGAGACAGTCTCACTCTTGTCACCCTAGCATCATCACAGCTCACACCAACCTCACTCTTGGGCTCAAGCAATCCTCTTGCCTCAGCCTCCCAAGTAGCGGGGACTACAGGAACCTGCCACGACACACAACTAGTTTTTCTGTTTTTCGTAGAGACGGGGTCTCCTCTTGCTCAGACTGGTCTTGAACTCCTGAGCTCAAGGGATCCTCCCACGTCAGCCTCCCAGAGTGCTGGGATTATAGGTGTGAGCCACCACGCCTGGCCTGATGGTAGAGTTTAGACAAACAACACAGCTTACTAATGAGGATGCGGAGTGCGCCTTACAAACGTGGAGAGGTCTCAGCCCAGGCCCAGGCTTCTCCTCCCAGGATGGCCTGTTGACATCCTTACACCCAGCGCACACTCACCTTTACTGTGCTTCCCTAGAGGCCTCTTGGGCAGCAGCTCCTCCGTGGAATGTGCTGACGTCTGCAGTGCATTCTCCAAACTGTTACTGACACTGCCAACGGGGGTCTCGGTTCTAGGAGTGATCTGAGGAACAGAAACAATCACTGTATTTTCTCCCACTGAGTTAACCAAGAATGATCTTGTTATTTGCAAGTCATATTTACCTTGGTTTCAAAATATTCCTTAATTCATGTTTTACTAGTGTAATAAGCCGCATTTCCTAAGAAATTATATGCAAAAATCCCACCTACCTACTACTCCACTGAACTCTAAGAAGAGCCCAGATAACTAACCAAGCATGGGCGCTTCTGGGTCCGTGCTGGGATGTAAACTGCGTGAGCCAACTTGGCACGATTTATATACTTTTACTTGACTCAGTGTTATTTTTGTATTCTTCACATGAAATCATTCTCCATAAAACTAATTACACAGAGGATTTCATGCTATCCTCCTATAATTCTTAAAGAAATAATAAAATACTCCAAAAACAACAGTAAAGAACGGAATACAACCAGATATACTTGGGGCACAATCTGTAAAGGTTAGTCTACGATTGTTCCATTTTGGGGAATTCATCATCATACAATGTATTCCAAGTGGAAGAGATGGGGGGGGGTACACACCCAGTGCAGAGATGGAGGGGGGTACACGCCCAGTGCAGAGATGGAGGGGGGTACACACCAGTTCAGAGATGGAGGGAGGTACACGCCCAGTGCAGAGATGGAGGGGGGTACACGCCCAGTGCAGAGATGGAGGGGGGTACACGCCCAGTGCAGAGATGGAGG